AGCATTACGAAAGTGACAACGAGTATTCGTTGGCATTCCAAAAGTTTCAACGAGTGTTCGTTGACATCACAAAAATGATGATGATGATGATGATGATGATGATGATGATGATGATGATATGGGGTGATAAAAGTTTCCAAACCATGTTCTCAAATTTGATTAGGTTTGGTTTGTTTTTAATTGCTGGTAATATCTATCTATCTATCTATCTATCTATCTATCTATCTATCTCAGTATATATTCGTTTGGTTTGTTTTGTTTTACGGCATATCAACCTCAATGGGTTATTTAATGCCGACAAGATTTTAATTGCTGGTAATATCTATATATCTATCTATCTCAGTATATATTTGTTTGGTTTGGTTTGTTTTACGGCATATCAACCTCAATCGGTTATTTAATGCCGACAAGATTTTAATTGCTGGTAATATCTATATATCTATCTATCTCAGTATATATTGGTTTGGTTTGGTTTGTTTTAGGGCATATCAAATTCAATGGGTTATTTAATGCCGATGAGATTTTAATTGCTGCTACTATCTATCTATCTATCTATCTATCTATCTATCTATCTATCTAAGTATATATTCGTTTGGTTTGTTTTGTTTTACAGCATATCAACCTCAATGGGTTATTTAATGCCGACAAGATTTTAATTGCTGGTAATATCTATATATCTATCTATCTCAGTATATATTGGTTTGGTTTGGTTTGTTTTACGGCATATCAACCTCAATGGTTTATTTAATGCCGACAAGATTTTAATTGCTGGTAATATCTATCTATCTATCTATCTAAGTATATATTCGTTTGGTTTGTTTTGTTTTACGGCATATCAACCTCAATGGGTTATTTAATGCCGACAAGATTTTAATTGCTGGTAATATCTATCTATCTATCTATCTATCTATCTATCTATCTAAGTATATATTCGTTTGGTTTGGCTTGTTTTACAGCATATCAACCTCAATGGGTTATTTAATGCCGACAAGATTTTAATCGCTGGTAATATCTATCTATCTATCTATCTATCTATCTATATAAGTATATATTCGTTTGGTTTGTCTTGTTTTACAGCATTTCAACCTCAATGGGTTATTTAATGCCGACAAGATTTTAATCGCTGGTAATATCTATCTATCTATCTATCTATCTATCTATCTATCTATCTATCTATCTATCTAAGTATATATTCGTTTAGTTTGTCTTGTTTTACAGCATATCAGCCTCAATGGGTTATTTAATGCCGACAAGATTTTTATTGCTGGTAATATCTATCTATCTATCTATCTATCTATCTATCTATCTATCTATATAAGTATATATTCGTTTGGTTTGTCTTGTTTTACAGCATATCAACCTCAATGGGTTATTTAATGCCGACAAGATTTTAATCGCTGGTAATATCTATCTATCTATCTATCTATCTATCTATCTATCTATCTATCTATCTATCTATCTATCTAAGTATATATTCGTTTGGTTTGTCTTGTTTTACAGCATATCAGCCTCAATGGGTTATTTAATGCCGACAAGATTTTTATTGCTGGTAATGTCTATCTATCTATCTATCTATCTATCTATCTATCTATCTAAGTATATATTCGTTTGGTTTGTCTTGTTTTACAGCATATCAGCCTCAATGGGTTATTTAATGCCGACAAGATTTTTATTGCTGGTAATATCTATCTATCTATCTATCTATCTATCTATCTATCTATCTATCTAAGTATATATTCGTTTGGTTTGTCTTGTTTTACAGCATATCAACCTCAATGGGTTATTTAATGCCGACAAGATTTTAATTGCTGGTAATATTTCTTGCAAAGAAAAAGTATTGCTAGTAATTCTTATTTTTCAAAAATATATTGATGATAGTATTTTTTTCAAAGTCGTACTGCTGGTAACAATGTATTGCCGTAAATAATATTTCTTGAAAAATTCATTGCTGGTATTAATTTTTTATAAAAATGTACTAATGTTATTAAAACCTATTTTTACACTTTCATAGTGTTTTGATCCCAGTTTGGGGTTTTACTATTTGCCCATATCTGGGACCCTAACAGATGCTACCACGCCGGGTCAGGATGGACCTAGGAACACTAGCAATTAAGCGGTGGTTCCACGCTCATCAAAACCCCCTGTTCAGAGGCCTTGCTGCCGGACGTAGTTTATAGTCTTACCCAGGACGCGGATGTAGTTTATCACCATACCCAGGACGGCCCAAATTAGACCAATTGACTAAGCAATCTTTGTATCTCATTATTTTATTTATTTATTTTTTTTTTTTTAATGAGCTTCTTGGTTGGGCTGAGAAATTGTCAGTATCTTTTCATACTCACTGTACTTGTTTATGTAAAAAAAAAAAAAATGGCGGAAGTATTCATGTAGATTTATTTTTAGCCGTTGGTCCTTGGCGACATTTTCCGTTTTCAGTGCAAATTTAGCACTCACCGGATCAGTTTGATCCAAAATAAATTCCATTTTCGTCGGACCTTTGATGTTTTATTCGATTCTTCTCTTTTCTTGTCTTATTCCAAGCTCTCTGATGCCAGCAGCGACGATTATCATCAAAATCATTGAAAGAATCCAGAATCCGAAAAAAAAATCGATAAAGTTCTTTTCCGTATATTTTTTTTTGTTTTTGTTTTTTTTTCCATTCATTTGAGAAACAGTCGCAATGTATTTTCTGATGGCTGTTCTAAAAGAAAAAAAAAAGCAAGTATAAAGCATAGTATTTGATCGATGAGACTCCTTACCACTTTAATAGATACGGCTCCTACTGTAGAGCAACATTTTCAAAATACTCTCGATTCCGCGCGAGATATTTAGTATATTTAATTTTTTATATTCATTTACTGCAAATCTCTCTTAACAATTCTGAACTAGATACACACAAAGCATGCAGGCTCGACGGTATCTGTAGCTAATCAATATTGCAATGACTGATTGATTCGTTTTCTACGGCTTATCAAACAAGAAATTATAATGTGGATACAAAGTGGGCGACCAATCCTTTATTAAGATCAATATATAAACTGATCCCTCACTTTGTGGCCAGGGTAGTTTCTATTCCTTTATATTCCAGAGAATGTAAATAAATCTAAAAGACACGCCTGTGTAACGAATCAGTATTTCATTTGCAGATTGATTCGTTTTCTACGGCTTATCAAAAAAAATATAATGTGAATACAAAGTGGGGGACCAATTCTTTATTAAGATCAATATATAAACTGATCCCTCACTTTGTGGCCAAGGTAGTTTCTGTACATTTATATTCCAGAGAATGTAAATAAATCTAAAAGTCACGCCTGTGTAACTAATCAGTATTTAATTGGCAAATTGATTCGTTTTCTACAGCTTATCAACAAACAAGAAATTATAATGTGGATATAAAGTGGGGCACCAATACTTTATTAAGATCAATATATAAACTGATCCCTCACTTTGTGGCCACAGTAGTTTCTGTACATTTATATTCCAGAGAGTGTAAATAAATATAAAAGACACGCCTGTGTAACTAATCAGTATTTCATTTGCAGATTGATTCGTTTTCTACGGCTTATCAAAAAAAATATAATGTGAATATAAAGTGGGGGACCAATTCTTTATTAAGATCAATATATAAACTGATCCCTCACTTTGTGGCCACGGTAGTTTCTGTACATTTATATTCCAGAGAATGTAAATAAATCTAAAAGTCACGCCTATGTAACTAATCAGTATTTAATTGGCAAATTGATTCGTTTTCTACGGCTTATCAACAAACAAGAAATTATAATGTGGATATAAAGTGGGGCACCAATACTTTATTAAGATCAATATATAAACTGATCCCTCACTTTGTGGCCACAGTAGTTTCTGTACATTTATATTCCAGAGAGTGTAAATAAATCTAAAATCACGCCTGTGTAACTAACCAGTATTTCATTTGCAGATTGATTCGTTTTCTACGGCTTATCAAAAAAAAAAATAATGTGAATACAAAGTGGGGGACCAATTCTTTATTAAGATCAATATATAAACTGATCCCTCACTTTGTGGCCAAGGTAGTTTCTGTACATTTATATTCCAGAGAGTGTAAATAAATCTAAAAACACGCCTGTGTAACTAATCAATATTTCATTGGTAGATTGATTCTTTTTCTACGGCTTATCAAAAAAAAAAAGAAATTATAATATGGATACAAAGTGGGGGACCAATTCTTTATTAAGATCAATATATAAACTGATCCCTCACTTTGTGGTCACGGTAGTTTCTGTACATTTATATTCCAGAGAATGAAAATAAATCTAAAAGACACGCTTGTGTAACTAATCAATATTTCATTGGTAGATTGATTCGTTTTCTACGGCTTATCAAAAAAAAGAAAAGAAATTATAATGTGGATATAAAGTGGGGGACCAATTCTTTATTAAGATCAATATATCAACTGATCCCTCACTTTGTGGCCACGGTAGTTTCTGTACATTTATATTCCAGAGAATGTAAATAAATCTAAAAGTCACGCCTGTGTAACTAATCAGTATTTCATTTGCAGATTGATTCGTTCTTTACGGTTTATCAACCCATTGCAGGCTATTTAAAACTACTTTTAGACTTTAATCATTCTTTTTCTTCTTTTTTTGAGATAATAATGGTTTAGTGATGCAAGTTTTACTAATAATAATTAAATGCATATTATACATGGGAAGTTACGGTAATCAGTATTTCATTGATTGATTGGTTCGTTTTCTACGGATTATTAACCCTTTGCCGGTTATTTAAACACAGAAAACATTTTTAGATTGTAAGAATGCTTTTTTAAAAATAACAATGATTTAATGATACACGTCTTACTAATTAACCTCCAGCTGGGGTGGGGGGAGAAGAGGTGGATTCATACCTTTTCGAAGGGTATTTGTGCGTAAGTGAATGCAACGAACCGAACTGGAATTGAAACTCGGCTCTATTATTAACAATTCCGATCCATTATTTATTACACCAACCTCACATCTAAGCTTTCAGCACCTGGTATTCCCAAGCAGTCACCCATCTAGGAACTGACGAAGTTCGACATTGCTTAACTTCGGTGATCGTGCGGCAACCGGTGTTTCAACTTTAAGTAAATGGATAATGGCGTAATGTTAATGAGAGATAACAGAAAGACAAAATTTATTCAGAGCCAGAAATTGCAGGAAAATGTGGAGAACTATGGTTAGCAACGTCCTGAAGGGACACGGCAAAGAGTAGTTGTGCATTAGTACGTTGTTATCAATGGCGTAAACACAGTACAGATGACATGAAGGGATAGTTTTGACCCACTATTTATTTTATACGCAGGAACCCTTTTCGATTCTGACAAATGCGGTGGGTAGAAGAATTTCTACTCAATGCCAATCGACAAAAGATTGTTCCAAAGAATTCTTCCCTATTATCAGATCATCGCAAAGGTTCGTATCTGATTTTCGTTAACATAAATCAACTTGACATTACCGTTTGTATTGGTGCCGTTTTCTGGTGTGATGTTGAAACCTTTCATCGTTCAGTTGAGAGTCAGACTTGGGAGTCATGTTGAAGTTTTTTTTTTCTCCCCAGATGAATGTCTTCAAAGCAGAGGAGAAAAAGTTGCATTTTTGCCATGCGAATTTCGGAAAGAAGGCCACCAAAATCATTCAGAAGGTTCATTTGGATCGATGGTTGGTTGATTTTTGAAATTGTACGATATTATACGGTTTAATGTCCTAAAAGAGTTCTTTCAGATTGGTTGTTTTATTGGTTGATTTTGTTTAGCCGAAAGATTTTGTGACCATTTTACCATAAAATGTATTGTTGGTCTTCCTATTATAAAAATGTATAGTGGGTCATTTTAATATAAAATGTATTGTTGGTCATTTTACAATAAAATGTATTGTTGGTCATTTTATTATAAAAATGTATTGTTGGTCATTTTACTATAAAATGTACTGCTGGTCATTTTACAATAAAATGTATTGTTGGTCATTTTATTATAAAAATGTATTGTTGGTCATTTTACTATAAAATGTACTGCTGGTCATTTTGCTATAAAATGTATTGGTCATTTTACTATAAAAATGTATTGTTGGTCATTTTACTATAAAAACGTATTGTTGGTCGTTTTACTATAAAAATGTATAGTTGGTCATTTTACTATAAAATCTATTGTTGGTCATTTTACTATACAATGTACTGCTGGTCATTTTACTATAAAAATATATTGTTGGTCATTATACTATAAAAATGTATTGTTGGTCATTATACTATAAAATGTATTGTTGGTCATTTTACTATAAAAATGTTTGTTGGTCATTTTACTATAAAAATGTATTGTTGGTCGTTTTACTATAAAATCTATTGTTGGTCATTTTACTATAAAAATTTATAGTTGGTCATTTTATTATAAAATCTATTATTGGTCATTTTACTATAAAATGTATTGTTGGTCATTTTACAATAAAATGTATTGTTGGTCATTTTATTATAAAAATGTATTATTGGTCATTTTACTATAAAATGTATTGTTGGTTATTTTACTATAAAATGTACTGCTGGTCATTTTACAATAAAATGTATTGTTGGTCATCTTATTATAAAAATGTATTGTTGGTCATTTTACTATAAAATGTACTGCTGGTCATTTTACTATAAAAATATATTGTTGGTCATTATACTATAAAATGCATTGTTGGTCATTTTACTATAAAAACTGTTGTTGGCCATTTTACTATAAAAATGTTTGTTGGTCATTTTACTATAAAAATGTATTGTTGGTCGTTTTACTATAAAATCTATTGTTGGTCGTTTTACTATAAAATCTATTGTTGGTCATTTTACTATAAAAATTTATAGTTGGTCATTTTACTATAAAATCTATTATTGGTCATTTTACTATACAATGTACTGCTGGTCATTTTACTATAAAAATGTATTGTTGGTCATTTTACTATAAAATATACTGCTGGCCATTTTACTATAAAATGTATTGTTTGTCATTTTACTATAAAAATGTATTGTTGGTCATTTTAACTTCACCATTGCTAGTATTTTTCTCCCAATAATGGCACTTTCATAGTATTTTGTTTAGGGTGCAGGACAACTGAACACCGCCAACTGAGAAACGCGCACTGAGCGCCGGGACAATTCAGGACTGAGAAAACTCAGGGCCGAGGCAACTCAGCACCAGAAAAAATAACTTTTTTATAACCGAAAAAAAGTAATTAATTTAATATGCTTGTTGGCTTAGAAATAATAAAGATATATATGTTATTCTGCTCTCACAATTAAATACATGATAGATAATCCTCAACTTTTATGCATAGGCATGTTAGTGTAGACATAATTACTAGAGGTGGTGATATGGATGTTTGATAACCCCGGGTTATGGTAAACCTGGAAACAACAGCAATTAAGAGTTGGTTCCACGCTCCTCAAAAGTGATAACAGTGATCGTGTTTTTACCCAGGAGAAGTGGCAAGATATGATATTATTCTGCAGTCACACTTGAATACATGGTAGATAATAGTCAGCTTTTATGCATAGGCATGTTAGTGGGGACATAATTACTAGAAGTGGTGATATGGATGTTTGATACATTATTTACATGATTCGGACTATTGTCCTCATCTTTGTCGCCATATTTATCACAACGTTTCGGCCGTTGTACGCTCCGGCCTTCTTCAGGTGGTTGGAATTTCGAACTGAACCCTTTATTTCGCTCACTGGGGTAGACTGTTCTAGTTCCACGTGCCATGTTTGATGGATGTCAGTTATTAGTTATCTCCTGCTAATTTCATTATTCCATCCTCCCAGTAAGATAAACATTTCTGGGAGGATGGAATAATTGTCTGAAAGATAGCAGAAGATGGTGAAACAAAATGATATTGTTCTTTCGTTATACAAGTATGCATTAATCTGAAAGAGGAAAATTAACAGGAGATAACTGATAACTGACATCCATCAAATTATGGCACATGGAACTAGAACAGTCTATCCCAGTGAGCGAAATAAAGGGTTTTAGTTCGAAATTCCAACCACCTGAAGAAGGCCGGATCGTACAACGGCCGAAACGTTGTGATAAATATGACGACAAAGATGAGGACAATAGTCCGAATAATGTAAATAATGTACATAATACCTCATCTCAGAAATATAGACAGATACTGAAAGGCCGAAACGTTGCAATAAATATGGCGACAAAGAGGAGGACAATAGTCCGAATAATGTAAATAGTGTACATAATACCTCATCTCAGAAATATAGACAGATACTGAAAGGCCGAAACGTTGTAATAAATATGACGACAAAGATGAGGACAATAGTCCGAATAATGTAAATAATGTACATAATACCTCATCTCAGAAATATAGACAGATACTGAAAGGCCGGAACGTTGTAATAAATATGGCGACAAAGATGAGGACAATAGTCCGAATAATGTAAATAGTGTACATAATACCTCATCTCAGAAATATAGACAGATACTGAAAGGCCGGAACGTTGTAATAAATATGACGACAAAGATGAGGACAATAGTCCGAATAATGTAAATAATGTACATAATACCTCATCTCAGAAATATAGACAGACTCTGGATGTTTGATGTTTTTAAGAACTTGTAAGATATTATATGTCATGAAAGAGTTCTTTCAGGTTGATTGTTTGGTTGATTTTGTTTAGCGGCATATCAACACCTCCATGGGTTATTTAATGCCGAAATCTAAACATGTTGAACACAATTTTATGGCTTCAAGTAAATATATTTTGAACGCAACTGTATGCCTTTAACTATTGATAAAATATATTGTTGTTGGTCATTTTGGTAGAAAATGAATTGTGGGTAATTCTACTATAAATAGGTACTGTTAGTTTTTTTTTCCTTTTTAAAAAATGTATTGCTGGTATTCACACAAGGAAAACCATCCAGGGTTTCTGAAAAGTTGCATCTGTAGATTTAGTCTCTAGTAAAAATTGATAGATTTTGTTTAGCGGCATGTCAACCTCTATGGGTTAAATACCAAAATCTAAATATTTTGAACACAATTTTATGACTAAGATATTTCAAACGCAATTGTATGCCTTCAACTACAGATAAAATTAAGAGGTGGTCCCAGGATCTTCAAATCCTTCCATCTCCTGGGCTTGCTGCCGGACGTAGTTTATCGTCATACGTAAATTACTTTTGGATTCGTGCTTTGGCTCACTCGACGGTCAAAAATTGGTTTGGCAGATTTTGTCAGTCAGTTTTAAATCTAAACGATCAATCACGCCCCGGGAGAACTCCCGATGTCGATTAAGACGCCCTGCTTGCCATCGTGGGGAATAAACGGAAGATTTCAATGCAAGATATTGCTAAGAGATTGAAAATCGATATCGCAACTGCTTTTCGGCATTTGAAGAGGCATAAGTTCCACAAAAACGGCCGATTTTGGCAAATCTAAAAGGTGTCATTTTCCTCCCACAATAACGCAAGACTGCATGTTACAAAACATACCTTGAGAAGCTTAAAGAGTTGGAATGGGAAACTCCAGAATCCAAAATATTCTCCAGGACTTGCTTCCTTTGGAGTTTCATTTCGACCGGTCTCTAGAGAATAATTTAAATGGCGAAAACATTGACTGTATATTCAGTACTCGGATATTTGTCCGACGGATTTTTAACCGAAAATGTAATGGCTTACTTACATGACACACATTTTATCGTAATTTTTTTATAGAAAAAGAGTAATGGTGTTGTTCTTGTTTAACATAAGGAAACAGTGAAATTAAACGTTCGTCAGCATTAAATTTCCTTTTTCATTGTTTCCTATATGTGCTACTTATATTTATTTTCTGTATTAATCTATAATTTTTCGTTCTTTTTTAATTTTATCACTTGAAATTCGGCTGTAATTGGGTGTAATCCAACAACAGTTTGAAACATGGCATCCTAATCAGGATTATAACAAATTTTGGAATCGTCCAATTATTAATAGGAGCCCCTTATTTAATCAAAAAATAGACACAGCCTTACGTCAATGGCTGAGAAAGATGGGTTTTCTGTGAACAATTGCTTACACTAATATATTCATAGTACACTAATATACATTTATTCGTCCTATTGTGCCGACCTATATCGCTTACACATACATACATACATACATACATACATACATACATACACAAATACAAATCACATACAACGACAAGCATTCATTTGTTAATTAATCACCACTACGTTATTAAAGACAATTTACAAATTGCAGCAATGCGACAATTTTGTAATCGCTCTATTCTCATGTAGTCAATTTTGTGCACTTTTGGGAGAAACGAATCACTGAATTTTTCTTAAGTCACTTCAAAACTCGCTCGCTGATTGGTCAATGCCAACCAATCAGATCGACTGCACGTGAAGAGTAACATTTCCCGCGCATCGATCTGAAAGCTATAGTCACTTATATAAGCAAGAATTTTTCTTAGCAAATTAGTGAGAATTCAGCTGCCAAACGGATCCACGACAGTTGAAACCATGCGGCAACCTTCTCACTCACACACACCACCCACATGCTGAACATTCCTTATACACTTACATAATCTTTTCTTACACAGCAAAAATCTTCTGAGAACAGTCATTATAAGAAACTCTTATAAACATTCTTCCAGTGAACTTTGAAATACAAAAATAACAGTTAAAGAGAGACAACTCTTGTTTTATTCAACCTTTTCTTACTTAAATGCATGTTTTCTTCACATCGTTGTTTGATATTGTACATCTTGTTAAATACAGATTTTATGTGTAACGATGTCTTTTGATTATCCTTTTCCACGTTTCCTAATCTAAAGTTAAATTAATGTGATGAAGCCCGCCGCACAATTCCACCCTTCCGTCCTGGGCATGACGATAAACTACACCCGCGTCCTGGGTAAGACGATAAACAACATCCGCGTCCTGGGTAAGATGATTAACTGCGTCCAGCAGCAAGGCCTCTGATCAGTAGGTTTTGAGGAGCGTGGAACAACCCCTTGATTGCTGGTGTTCCTAGGTCCACCCTGACCCGGGGTAGTAGCGCCTGTCAGGGTCCCATCTATGGCCAAACAGTTAACCCCAAATTGGGGTCAAAACACTATGAAAGTGTAAAAATAGATTTTAATATCAGAAATACTTTTTGTAGAAAAATTATTGCCAGTATTATATTTTTGAAGAAAAAAATATTACCAAAAATAGATTTATGAAGGAAAAAATATTACCAGCAACAAAAATTTTGTCGGCATTAAATAACCTATTGAGGTTGATATGCCGTAAAACAAACCAAACCAAATCTTATTCTACCTTATAATACTGCTAATTAAAATAATTACAGAATTGCTTGTTACTATTTTTACTTGTACTTTTTCGGCCAAATGTCCGGCCACAGTACAGTCAATCGAAACCTAAGAATTTTTTCTCAGTAAAAACACGAAGAGTCTATGAAAATGGTAACAACAAGCTTGTAGAACGATGGGAAACAATTCTTTAAAATAGTGGAGGCTATAGTTGGACAATGTTATAAAATAAAATAAGATATATCTCGGCTGATTTACAAGCAAATACTCAAGAGCGAGAACCGGATGTAAACGGGACAAAGCCCCGTCACAAAATGACCATTATCTTTCTTTACAAATGTTCCCGACACACGTGTTCCGGTCGAAAAAATAAAATAATATTTAAAGTGCTCTATTTTTCGTCCAATAAAAAATGCTTCCCTCCTAATTATACTCCTTCGTTTTTCGAGCCTGTTAAGCCAAAAAAAAACGCTATAAAAGGGTCACACGGAAGTTCAACAGGCAGTCCCAGGTGCCCAGGATAGAGACCTGTCACGTTCAGCTGCTGACAGCAGGGGAGCGTCAACCACTGTCAACATGTGAACTACTATGAGAGATTGACCTAGATCCGAAGACGGCTTATGAACTTTACCACAAGGTAGCTGTCCCAAACCCACACGTTCGTGTTGAAATGAACCACGTAAAACTATTTCTGCTGTCGTCGTATTTCTTTCTGGCAACCAACGCTTGTCTATAACAACAATAATTTTTTTTATGAGTATGTAAAACTTTGTTTTTTTTCTAAACGGGCGAAAACTTGTGTAATGTTTTAATAGATTCAAAAATAAATGACCAATATTAACCAATTTCAGAGTTAATGAATATTTATAAACTCGAATATAAACGACCAATATTTACATAATCATGAATCAAGGAAGTGCTTATCGATTAAAATTTAAACAACCCGTATTTACCTCTGTTGTAATCTTGTCTTTGATCAAAATAGCTGAGAATTAGGAAGTCAATAGTTAAAGAGAGTATCGAAGGAATAAAAGACTAAATTGAGGAAACAAAGAAGAGGTTTATTAAATACTCATACCTAGGAGTTCAAAATAGCCGAGAATTAGGAAGGCCGTAGTTATAAGAAGTCAATATCGAAGGAACAGAAGACTAAATTGAGGAAACAAAAAGAGGTTTATTAAATACTCAAAGAAGAGTGAAGTT